CCTGCAGTCAGCTAATATTTGGCAAAGGTTCCAGGAGCAGTCAATGCAGAAAAGAAAATCTTCTCAACAAATACTGCTGGCCAACGGTACATCCACACGTCAGAGAATAAATTCTGCCACACCCAGAAATTAACCCAAAATGGATCAAAGACATCAGTACAAGAGCTAAACTACAAAATTCTTAGAAGAAAATATGGGGATAAATCATCATGACTTTGGATCTGGCAAAACATTCTTAGTTATGACACCAAAAGTAAGAATAAATTATGTAAAAATTAAAAAATTTGTTTGAGAGAATATTATCAAGAAAGTGAAAATTCAACCCACAGAATGAGGTAAAGTATTTGTAAATCATATATCAGGTAAGGAATTCACATCTACAATATATAATGAGTCCTTGTATTCAGTAGTAAACAGACATCTCAATTAAGAAATGGGCAAAAATCAAAATGGATATTTTTTTCAAAGGTAATAAACCCTGGCCGAAGAACACATTAAAGGATGTTTAAGGTGTTAGGCGTTAGGAAAATGTGTCAAACTCACAGGACGACTTCATGTCCCGCCCACTAGAATGGGGAGGAACAAGAGCGGGGAGGAGGCTGGGAGAAGCTGGGACACGCGCACCACTGACCGGATGTGATGAGCGCGTCCAGCTGACTTTCCTCGACAAGCTGAACTCCAGTTAGCAGATGCCCAGTAATGTCACTCTTAGAGGCACAGCCGTAAAACCTCAGTCCCCATTAAAAACAACCACGGTTGCTCACAGCGTAGCTGTACTGGGTGAAGGAGAAGTGGAAACAGCCCAAATGGCCATCTAACATAAACGGGAGTGACCTGTCCACACAGTGGGACATCCTTTCAGACACAAGGAAGCGCTGGTTCCTGGCGCAGTGTAGATGAAGATACATTAAGTGAAATGAGCCAGACACAGTCGGGTCACACACTGATTGCATGACTCATTTTAACAAAATATGTGAGGCAGACAACGCACAGGCACAGAAACTAGGTCGGAGGCTGCCAAGGCCTGGGCTGAGAAGGAAATGGGTGAGGCTTTCTTGGTGTTACCAAGCTATTTTGAAAGTAAGTAGCAGTGAAAGCCACAAAATTGTGAACATAATCCCCTCCGAAACTCACTAAATTTATATTTCAAAACAGTAAATTTTACACCATGCAATTTTAACTTAAAGAAAAGTTGCTGAACACTCTGTCATTTGGGAAATAAAAAAGGCATGAAGCGATTTTCCTCACCCCTATTAAAATGACACAATTTTAAAAGTCACTAACAGCAAGTGCTGGTGAAGAAGCATAGTAACGGGGACACTGCCTGGTGTGACCACCTGGAAAACGGTTTTACCTTTGCTCATCAAGTGAAGAATAATTTTCTGTGTGATTCAGTCATTCCAGTTCTGCAATTGTCCTAAATAAATGAAAGTGCATATTCATACCAAAACGTGTACATTTAATTTGCAAGAGTTTTTATTTGAGGACAGTTCCCTTTAACTCATTCAAATGTGGGTTTGTTATAATTTTAGACTAGCCGGGTCTTGATGAAACTTTTCAGTATGAGGACTGTTTTCTTCAGTGAACATTTCAGCCTCTGCCTCTTTGACACTAGCCTGTTTTGGCCTCTATGTTGCTTTTAGAATTTCCACCAGAGAGACACTCAGCAAATTGTCTGTACTCTCTTTCCCCCACCTTCTCTCACAGTTTCTTCCCTTCGCGTCCCTGCTGCATCCCTAGTGGCCCATCCACGCGTCCCTGGCCACTCATCTCTTGTCCATTGTGACTAATTTATCTCATTCATCCACTGAGTTTTTGACTCCAGAGGTTATAGTCTTATAAAAATATTTGATAACAGCCTGATCTTTCTGGATTTCATGTTTCTTCCTAAATACTTTGATCATATTCAGTATACGGCCCCTTTCCTGCAGCACCAACATCTCCATCTATAAGGGTGCTGCCTGCTCTCCGTTGTACCTGTTGACTCTCTCTTGCTGCAGCTAATTTTCTTACGTATTTTTTAACGTTTTAATTGTGAACTCAGTGATAGGGAACTGCTGTGAAGAGCCTCCCTATAAAAGAGTTGCATGTTTGCTTCTGCCAGGTGCCTAGAATCCACCTCTCCACTCCACTCCTCTTACCCAGCTGGTTCGCAGCCTAGTGAGGAGCAGGTGCCTTCCTATTTTGGTCATTCTAAAGTGATCTGTTTTGTTTGTTTCAGCATAAAATGTACAACTAATGCTTGAACTTTGCAAAATAGATACTAAAAGTTATCAGATAGCACCTCACCTAATTTTGCTCTTTACAGCTAAAGAGCTAAGCAAGTACCTCAAAGACACTCATCCAACTATTGCAAGCAGGACAAGCATTCGGGTGTCCTGCGTCCTGGTCTTGGTATCGTCCCCAGATCCAGGCTCCACTTGAGGACTCCACCTACACCCGCCCCACATGGACAGCAGAGAATGGTAAAACATCCATTACCCCACCGCCTTTGTCTTCTTTTTTCTTTTTCTGATGTAATGGGTTTTCCTCACCAAATAGTGTTTCTTACATGAAATATGAAGAAAACTACAAACCAAGGCAACAAATCAGGGTGACTAAGCAGATACATGCTCTCTCTGAGTTGACTTACAATGAGCCCACGGATTTACGAGACAGCTCCCCTCTTCTTTGAAGCTGAAGAAATCTGGAGAGACAGCTTCTCAAAAAATTCTTAATGTTCTCATGAAGAACTGATTCACAATAAAACTCAATATGCCACTTACATGGATGCCTGGGTGCAAGGTCAGCTGTGCAGATTTGATTTTTCTGTTCATCATAAAGGTGGTTTGGACTCCAGGCTTTGCACTCCCCACGCCTATTTTTTCTTTCGATCCCGCCAGGTCTGGTGCCCTACGTTTTGTTTCCAATCCCAGATCCTGTGTGTAAGGAGGAGCTGAGCACTGACTGTTTCCTGGGCCAAGCAGCGCCAGTGACATAGGTAGTGCTGTCATCTCCACCTTCCCCCAGCTTCCTCACCTCCCAGGGACAAGACTGCAACTACCCTGAAGACAACAGTGACTTTCTTACCAGAGATATGGCCCCACCTGACCATCCTGAGAAGATTTCGCCCAGACCAGGCCTGCCCATGTCACCAGATATGGGAGCCCCAATCCTCTCCACAGAACCCCAACACTATGGTTACCCCTCGGGGAGTAACTTCTCCCCAGCACGGCCAGACTGAGAATAAATTTCTCTCTGGTCACCAGCACCATGCCGGTCTTCAGTTGGCCTCTTTAGACGAGTGGCAGGACCTGGTGCCCAGAGCCAGGCCTCCCCCTGAGGACTCGCTTACACCTGTCCCACACTGACATCAAAGAATGATAGACACATCCATCTGCCCACCCCCCTTGCCTTCTCTTTTTCTTTTTCTGATGTAATACAGTGTGCCTCCTTGTTCTCTTCAGGAGACACTGAATAGTGCAGAATGCTAGTGTGAAAAGTAAATACTCCCATGCAAGCACCCTTACTGCCCTCCAGAGATGATGAGCCCTCCTGCTGTAGTGGGTCATCCTGTTCCTCAGCCCTCTCCTCTCTTGTTTTCATATGTGCATATGTAAATATGAATATGTGTTATTAAAATGTAATCATGATCCGTATATTGCCTTGAAATTGCTTTTCTTGGGGGCTGGAGATTTAGCTTAGCGGCATAAGTGCCTGCCTTGCAAGCAGGCAGTCGTGAGTTTGATCCCCGGTACCGATAAAAAATGAAAAAGACCAAAAAAAAAAAAGAAATTGCTTTTCTTAATAACACTCCTGAGAGTGCACCGAACACTGTACCGTCACCTACTTCATTCCTGTGAGAGCTACGTCACAGCAATAGCTAACACTGGGCTAAGAGGATGCCATGATAAGGATCAAAGCACTTTCTATTAACAGTCACTTACTCCTCACAATAGCCCTAGTGGATAAACAAAATTATCACACCCGCTCTATAGATGAGGAAACTGAGGAAGTGAGGTGATTCCCCCAAAGCAGTAAGATAACCCAAAACCCAAGTAGTACGTGGCGTGCTGCCCACCTTCCTCCCTCCTGCTTGATATGAATACTTGGGAGGTGTTCAATCAGCTCCCAACTGGAGAAGCGTTGGGCTGCCTCTGATTTTTCACTATTCATGAACAAGGCTGCAATTAACGTCCTTCTGCATGTAATCAAGGCCATCAGTCTTTCCAGTACTGCTTCAGAGCTGTTGTATTGTGTGGGCAGCCCTCCCTACCTCTAGACCACAAGTAATCCTTCTTCACTTTTCCTGTAACTTTTACAGTTAGATTTCATTTATTTAGCACTTGAGCTCCTCTGGAATTCATTTTGATGTATGGAGCCATTTAGATGTCTGATTTTATTGTCTTCCATATGGATAGCCAATCGCCCCTACATCGCTTTTGAATAGTCTATCTTTCCTTGGTGAGGAAATATTTCCCAAGAAAATCTTCTAAGACTTAAAAAGAGCTTACATCGACACTTTGAAATCTGCCCCATGCTTAATCAACAGTTGAGAAATATATAAACACAAAATGGCTCATTAAGCGCAAAGGATACTGGGTAAGGAAAACAAGGGGAGCCTGGGGAGCTCCCCCACAGCAGATGCACTGGGTGACTGTGTCTGAGGGGAGCGTTTCCAGCCGGGTTCAAGCCAGGGCTCTGACCTTATGGTGGTAAGGACTCCATAGGAGCACGGTCCCATCTAGAAAGGCTGAGCTCACCATCTTCTGTGGAATAACCCAGGTGTCCCCAAAGGCAGCCCTGCTCTTTAACCCACATCTCAGGGGACACAGTGACTTGCTGAGCACGAACACTCACGGCCACAGCACACAGGGCAGATAAAGCTCCTCTTCCCTAGACTTTCTATGTAAACCCACTGATGGCCTCCCATGTCTGGGCCCACCCCTTGCCCAAGCCCAGCCCCAGGCTCCCACCATGATCAGTCCCTTTCCTTTCCTTCTCCTCAGGTCCAACTCCACTTCATCCTAACGCCCCACACACAACTGCCAAGATCTCCCTCAGATTCTCACAGCCCAGCTGTTGCCCTCTTCCCTTCAGCCTCTTAAAACATCTTTCTTTACTCACTTTTTCTCCTCCCTCGAAATCCACCTGGCCTCTGCCCTCACCTCAGACCTGCTTCGTCAAGGTCAACAAGAACCTTCATGTGCCGGTCAAAATGGCAGCCCATCCCTGTCTACCTGCCTCTCAGCAGCTCAGCACCTTAACCACTTCCTTAGGCTTACAATAGTCTCTTGACTGGATTTCATGACACTGTGATCTCTTATTCCTTCTTTAGCAACTCTGCCCACTTCTTCAAAGTTTTCTTCCTGGCCTTCTCATCCTGTACCCACACTTAACATGTTAGTCACGTTAAAATTGCAGGCTAGGGCTCTCATTTTCCTTCGCATGTGTTCCCTGAGTGCTCCAACTGACACTTGTGTTCTCTTGTCTTCCCAAACCGTAAGCCCGCCCTCGGCCAGCAGAGCTGCACACCCAGCCTCCTAGTGACGGTCCCATTCCACCACTTACTGAGGCTCCCTACACAGGATGGCCCAGTCAATGTCAGTGTCATCTGCCCCCACCTGAACCAGCTCCAAGGATGACCAGCTACCTGAGTGTCCTCCCCACTGCCCCTCATGCCCAGTAGGGTCCACTCCCTGGCTGCCCAGCCATTCCCTGGCTGGGGCTTATCACAGTGCGCCCAGATTTCTGTGACCTTCTAACTGACTCCTGGCCACAGTCTCTATTGTATCTGATCTGACACTGCTGTCCAGATAATTTTTAAAATAACAAATGCATCATTTTATTTCTTTATTTACACTGTGACTAATTCTTTGTTACTCTTCTAATAAACCTCAGAGGTTTTTTTGGCTTATGACCCTGCATAATTGTGTCCCAGCATCCCTCTCCAGTGCCATCCCCTACTGTCCCCACCCTCTTCTGTGTGGGTGCACACACACACATACACGTACACACACATCCCATGAAGAATGTATATGGAGTGTATTTTTTAAATTTTTATTTTGAAAAGAACAAAATCAAATGAGAAATGACACAAAACAGAGTCATTCAAAACAAAAGGATGGGTGTAGCACATGATTAAAACCACAATACAAGGTGATCTACAATGGTTACTATGATGTCTTTTGTTATCTTCCATAGAATTGTCTATATCATCAAGCATAGTAAAATTGAACATAACAGTACAGAACAGAACAATATCAATTAAAAACAAAACATTGCAGACATTATAAGACTTCAAAAGCAGGTAATAGTCAAACGAGAACGGGTATCCTAGTGAATCTTATCATCTTCAGAGTAGTTGCCTGTACTCTCAGACTTGATACTATCAAACATAACAGATTTGGATAAAATCAGTCAAGACAAGACAGCGATCTAACAAACCAGATTCAAATAAGATCAGCCATAATAAGACAGTTTAAGTAATACAGGGCTTCAGAGTAAGTTAATAAGAAATTAAGGATGGTTACCACAGTATATCCTGCTATTTTTGGAAAAGCTGTCTGTGCCCTAAGTCTAGTATAAGTAGACAGACTGGAACAGACTGGAACAAACTAAACAGAGCGATGAGAACAATGTAGGTTTTAAATCATTAACAATGTCCTCTGCCTTCCTTTTTTAGACAATTCCTCCCCTTTCACTTTCACAGGTGCATTATACATTTTGGATCCCACTAACTCCTTTAATTTTTAGATTAGGGAGGCAACCTGCTATTTACCTAAAGTGGTTCTGAACCTTTTTACCCCTGGGCTTGATCTTAAGTTGTATTCCTTTACCTATAAAGGCCTCAACCGTTTTCCTTCCTTATAGCTGAGTAGTTCTCCACTGCACTAAAGTGTCATGTCTTTCCAACCTATCTGCAGGTGCTGGACGAGTTGTCCCTATTTCTCTCTGGTTCTCTGTCACACAGAGCATTATTTTCTCATTTTTGACTTTCAGACTATAAACCCTCTTTCAGGTTGATTATATTTCCTATGCAGAGCATCTCGATGGACCCTATCTCCTGATCTACTCTGCCTGTGTTTCTTTTTGTTAGTGTATCAAGGCCATCTGTGTTAAAGATTATAACCACCGTCTCTGCCTCATCTCTGCTATGCTATTTTTCTGTCATTGGTTGTCTACTTTTCCCCTTCATTCCACTGTCTTCCCCATTCATTGAGGCTTCTCTACCACTGTTTCTGAAACCCTGGTGTTTCTCTCTCCTCTCCTCTCCTCTCCTCTTTTCCCTTCTCCTCTCTCTCTCTCTCTCTCTCTCTCTCTCTCTCTCTCTCTCTCTCTGATCTTTTGGTATTTTTTGTAGGGTTGGATTGGTGGTCATGAACTCCTACAGTTCCTCTTTGTCATGGAAACATCTTGTTTCTCATTAATTTTGAGAGAGTTTTTTAGGGTACATAAATCTGGGTTGGAGTTTATTTTCTTTCAGGGATTGAAATATTTTGCTCCAAGCTTTTGTTTATTTGATGGTTTGTGTTGAGAAGTGTGTCGTGTTCATGTATTCTATATTTTTTTATATTCTTCTTCAAAGGTTTCCCTCCTTTTTCTGTGCTCCTCCATTTTTCCATCTGTCTTCTTGGGAAGTGTTTAGCATTTCTTTTATTAATCTTCTTATATCTTGCTTAACTTATATTATTATTTCAGTTTTGAGTTCATCTATAATGTCAGGAAGATGTTACTTTATGTCAGCTGATGCTGCTTCTGATATTGCATGTTTGCTTGCCCTCAGTCTCTTCTGTGTTTACCTCTCCTGGACCTATATTCTCTGGGTTGACAGCTAGAGGCTTTTTCTTCTTTCTTCCTCTTGTCATGTTTCTGGTTTCTTTCATACAGGTGTATGGTGGAGGTCCCAGCCCCTTTCCTTGTTGGTTATGGTTTTTCTGAAGTGTGCTGGCTAGGGATTTCTGCCCTCTCCAGTTTGCTGTTAATCACTGAGGTATGAGCAGGGACAGTGCAGGCTCTGGGGGTCTTCACCATGTTCACCGTGTGTGCTGCATGGTCAGAACCAGTTCAGGACAACTTCAGGGGTAAGTTTGTCCCTGGCTTCTGGGTCCCACTCAGGGGCAGGACCCAGTCCAAGCCATTTCCAACAATATGCTCCTCACCACGAGCAACCAACTGAAGCCACTACAGTTCCGAGTTCAGGCCCGTCCTGCCCAATTCCAAGAAGTTGCCCAGCTGGTCTCCTCTTTCTGCTGGAGCACCAATTCCAAGCACTCACTGTGGGCCAGTGCAGATCTCCATGCCAGCTCAATTCTCCGTTGTGATGCATCCTCCCACTGAAGTCCTCGGGCTCACCAATCCCTGACTTCCACACAACTACAAGTTGGACCGGCTCTGGTGAGAGCACATCTGGTGAGAGCTCCAGCCTTCTACCATGTTTTTCTTTTTTCTTTTTCCTTAGTTTCTTCCTGGGTCATGAGAATCCCTCCCCTTTTGTCTGGTCTTCTCCATGCTGTTAAATTCTATCATCTGAGCTGTTTCTCTCAGAGAAACCCCTGAAGTTGTCCTGAACTGGTTCTGACCATGCAGCACACACTAACATGGTGAAGACCCCCAGAGCCTGCACTGTCCCTGCTCATACCTCAGGGTACTTGCTACTTATCTATCTGCTATCTTGCTCTATGGAATGTATTTTATTGACTCCTGAATACCCTTTTTTGACATGAACACATTCTGAAAGATTCTATATTCAGGTCCACCATGAACCCAGCCACTTTGCAATCAACTCTTATTACAGATCTCAAAATACAACTCACTTCCCCCCAGGAAACCACACTGAATTCTCTATTTTGGGTCCCACAGGAAACTAGAGCACTCTTTATCAGTTCTAACTCCCCAGCATCTCTACTACTGCCCTAAATGTTATCCACCAGTCACCACAGTAACTTCCTCCCAGCTGGGAGTTACCTACAAATTGTGGGCTGATTAGTAATTCATTCTCCCAGTGTCCCTCAAAACCACTGGAAATTCACAATGTTCTTGTCTACCTTGTCTATTTTAAACATTGAAAGATGCAATAATGTGCAGAAAACATTGAGTTGCAATGGTAGAATTCTGAGGTTGGCTATACAATTTACTTAACTTTTCTGAGATTCAGTTTCTTTCCCAAACAAATAGGACCAAGATATAAACTTCATTAGGCTGACATGAGGATTAAATAAGATCACAAATGCAAGTACATAGCACTCAATAAATGTTGATACCATTCTTCCCTCATACCATCAAAATTCAGCAAGGTCAGGCACCCAGAGGGGTGTTCAACACAGGTGCAGATGGACAGGGGTTGCCCCTGATCATACAGGCTCAAGGCCTTTATAACAACCATGAGAAAGTTCCTTTTTATGTCAATCGTGTAGTAGTGCAAAGAAAGCAGAGTGGGCCAAGGACCTGAGTGTCCAAAGGAAGAGGCCTCAAATGAGCAGAATCCAGGCAAGCATCAGCCAAAGGCTAACACCAGAAGCCAGGATCAATGCTCCTTTCTAGAGGATCCAGAGCAGCTGAGGATGACCTACATTCAGGGTCAGCAGCTTTGGGCTCCCTGGGACTCTGCTGGTGGATGGTTTTCACCCTGTAGAAGACAGCTGCACACCTGTCGGTGAATGTCCAGGGCGACCTCCACCTAGAGAAGCAAGGGTGAGGCTGTGAAAGAGGGCCCTGGTGCCCTGGGTGGGAATGCAAATCAGTGCAGCCACCATGGTGGACAGTTCGAGGCCTTAAAAAACCAAAAACAGAACTATAGCATAAGCCAGCAGCAGTCCCACTTCTGGGTATTTATCCCAAGGATATGAAATCTGTATGTTGAAAAATATTTTCACTCCCATGTTCAATTCAGCACAAGTCATAATAAGCAAAACGTAAAATCAAAATCGAACTAGTGTCCATCAATAGAAGCTGGGCATGGCGGCGCTTGCCTGTAATCCTTGCATTCCAGGAGATTGAGAGAGGAAGATTCTAAGCGTAAGCCAGCCTGGGCAGTTAGCAAGACAAGTGCCTTAGCAGGACACTGTCTCAAAATAGAAGAAATAAAAGGGCTGAGGATGCAGTCCCACAAGAGATGAAGGGGGAGCAGAAGAGGGGAGTCCTCAGTATAGATGAACCTAACTAATAAAGTAAAATAAGCCAGTCACAAAAGATAAGCACCACGTGTTCACATTGACATGTGCACTCTAACACACTTGGGTTCAGAACTAGGCAGCAGAAGGTACTTACCAGGGCTAGCATGGCAGGGTAAGAAGAAATTGATCGAAGGACATAGCATGTTGCTTGGAGAGAAGGAAAAATTTAAGACCACCATCTTACAACATGGTGATGATAATTAAGAACAAGGTACTTTATTCTTGAAAATCTTTCAGAAAGAAAAAGTCTGAGGATGCTGGGCTCAAGACTCAGTAACTGTAAAAGTAAATAACAGAGGATCGCTAACGAGCTAGCTAGACACACGGATGCCCGGTTATATTCATGATAGATAGATAGATAGATAGATAGATAGATAGATAGATAGATAGACAGACAGACAGATAGGCAGGTGGATGGAGAGGACAGATGAATAAAAATAATACAATAAATAGTCACAGATTTATTTTGCTATAAAGACAAAGATGGGCCATCGGGTCTTCATATCAGAGGTAATCGTTCAGATTGTGGACTTCAAGACATGACCTCATTTCTTGGGCAACCGGTCCAAAAAGAACTTGGAACTCTCGTTAACAGGTATGACAATCTAGTGACAGCTACTCCCTCCTGAGCTCACTTGGCCAGAGAAGGTCAGCAGCTGCTTCTGCCCTTCCCGAAGCTGCAGCCTCAGGACCTCAGGTGGGGAAGGCATCTATGAACCACTGGGAAGATGACTGACTCCATCCAGATACCACCCGACTGTCCAGGGCAGCCCTGAGCAGGTTTCCCCAGACATGGCCACCAGGAGCCCAGCCACGCCAAGGACCCAGGACAGCACGCCTCACGACTGGCCACAAGGCATCTGGGGCCAGTAAGAAGCCCAGTGGAGGTCTTCCCAGGGCTGGCAGTGAGGCACCCAGTCATACCCCAGGCCCCAGCAGAGGTCACCCACGGCCAAGCCTCCAAGGGAGACATGACACCAAGGAGCCCAGAGGAAGTCTTCCCCGGTCCACCCCCCAGGCACCTGGAGACACCAGGAAGCTCAGCACACGAAGGCCCTAGCCTGGCCACTACTGAAAACCACTCAGCTGGGAGCCTTGCAGAAGTCCAGCCAGGGTGTTCAGGGCAGGCATCGAGGCTGCCCTTCCTGAGGAAGCCCCCAGTGCCAGCTTTTCCAGACAGTCGGCTCCTAGACCCGAGCTCCTGTGTGGCATACACCTCCACCCAACGGGGTAGGCAGGGTCACCCCCCTCTATTGTGGAATCTCCAAGAAACTAGAGAGATGAAGAGGGACTTTCAGGAGGACTTCAGTGCTGCACCTTCCCAGCCACTAGAAATGCCCAAAACCAGGCTGATTCCTGGCCAGGCAAGGTCCCCTTTCATGCACTTTGTGACTCAAGAAAGTAGAGACCAGAAGCAAAACAAAGGCAGTCAGTCACCCTAGGACAACCCTCTTAGCCTCGACAGAACCCATCCTGTCGTCTATAACGCCATGTGTGAGTCTCCTCGGTGTCAGGACCCAGTGTTGCCCCTCTAAGGGAGGAGATTCCCATGGGAGAACTCCTGAAGTGTCCTCCTTACCAGGGAGAAAAGCACAGGCCTGGGGTGAGAAAGCCGGTCTGCGTCCTGAGGGAGGGGCGGCTGAGGAGCTGCTCCCCGAGCTGGGAGAAGAGGTCAAGTGCCTCCCCCGCTCTGCTTCACCTCTTCCTCAGCTCCTGGCCGGACGCACACCGAGGCTGATCCCCAAGCCTGCCGTCCTCTGACGTCCGTGGCATCCCAAGCCCACTGAGGCAGAGAGAAAGGCTGCAGGGCCAGCAGCAGCTCTCGGGCAGAGGTTGTGCCAGCTCAGAAAGACCCGGAGATGAGAATCCTTGTCCACCAGCTCCAGAGCTCAGATGCTGAGGGCTCCATGGACCACACGGCCTCCTGACCTCCACCCAGGCCAGCTCCTGCCTGGCCCCCCGGGCCCCCCTTAGTACTGCAGTGACTTCGGTATGTACTGCTACTTTTATTTCCCACGTTTATATCATTATTTATTTTAAATGAAAAGAACCAAAGAGTAAATTCAAATGTACTCACTGAAAGTAAATGCTAAATATGTGATGTTATGCATATAATAATCAGCTTGATTTAGGCGATCCATAACTTATACATAACATCAAAATCATGGGATGGCCTGGGGGGTACTTCAGTGGTACAGCGCCTGCTTAACACGCACAAGCCCTAGGTGCAACCCCCAGCTCCAAAAACAATAAAAATCATTATTCACACAAATACGTACATATATATATATACATACATGGATACATATATATACATGTATATATATATACATGTGTATACGTATATATATGACTTTGAGTTATGTTTTAGAAAATTAAATAATTAAAATCCATCAAAGAGAAAGTTTCAACTGAGTTTTTAGAGCTTTGACTATCCCTTCAGTGCTGAGAAGAGACAATGAAAGTTCTTATGAAGGTCCCGTAATTCAGCGGTGCGCATCCTTGGCGTGAGATGGAAACCTTCCCCAAAGATCTCGATTTACTGTTCCCGGGCTGGAGTAGGTAGGTATCGCCTAAAGCGTCTCTAGGTGATTTTAATGCACAGCCAGGGTTGAGAACCACGAATAAGTTCATCTTAAAAGTATGGTCTCTGTGTTCACCTTTCAGGAACCTTAAGATGGTTTTTGAATATTAAAGGGAATTTAACAATATAAAACAAGCTCTTTTCACACGTGTAAGCAAAACAAGACTATGGTTAGGAATGGAAAATGCCGGCCTTCATCGTAAAACAGTCTTACAATTGCATTAAGAATGAATATACAAAAAAGGATTTTTGAGGAAAACCTCGTCTTCAGCAGAGATCCTAGAGTTATGTGTCTGAATTACTATGTCCCTTAAAATTTCTTACTATATAAGAGAAGCTATAAACCTATTTTAATGACACTGCCACAGTGGAAAAACAAATTTATTAGAAAGAAATGGCCTTTTAAGACTGCAGGAGGTGCATTAAGATGTCTTGAAGGGTGGCAAATGCTGGTCTTTGGTTAAGTTTCAGCACGTGGAGACAATGAATGGGCCGCAGGCCGGCCAGTGAAGTCCAGCCTCGGAACTTGCCAGGCTCGGCGACCTCCTCCCCAAGAGGCCCGGGCTCGCAGCACCCAGCACACAAGCTAGGAGGTGCCTGGGAGCTGTGACCGCAGCTGGGGTGAGGCTGCACTCCCTATGGGGGCCAGTGGCCAGAACTCCCTCCCTCCGCCTCAGGGACCCCTGCATGCCACCTTCAGTTATCTCTCTGTGCTCTGACCCCTTTTCTCAATCTCTGTCAACACAATCATGTCATATGCAGTCTTTCAAAGCTCTAAATTAGCCTTAAAGGTAGCTTTGTACTTTTTACTGTGCTTCATTAAGAACACTCACATTCAACTCTTATTTCTGTTTTCTAAGTTTTTGTAAGTCTTGAGATGAACCTAGGCAAGCAATGACGTTTTGATATTTTATGGTAGCAACAGTCCCCATGTTACAAAAAATCAGAAGAAAAATTCACTTATATACTGACATTCATTCAACAAACCCTGATTGTGCCAGGTACTTTCTCAGTGGTAAAGAAAACAGCCCATGCCCCCAACGGCGTGGGTTTACATTCCTGCAGAAAGGCAGAAATTACATGAGAAATTGCACGAGGGAGCAAAGAGCCGCGGCCAGTACTGGACAAAGGGAAAAAAGTGCAGGTACCATTAGAAATGCTTATTAAAATGTTCACTTGGAAGTGAACGCCCCGGGGTGGTTTTAAAGTGTATTTTTTTGTCTCCGGTGACAAGAAACGACACTGTCCAAGTAGAAAAATGAAAGGGTGGAAGAAACACAAAACCCCCTCCTGCGCCAATGCTGCTGCGCCCTGCCTGCGCTGCTGGTGTTTCTGAGTTTTCTCGGGATCCGTGGTCTTCAGGGAGGCTTGGAGAAGGAGCAAAACGGAATCACCTTCTGGGCCACGTTTGAATTTGAGGTCAGTGATGCCCAGAATCACACTTTGACTGTGCAAAGGGCTCTGCACCATGGGGGACCCCCGCACAGACCCCCAGGAGGGACCCGTGGGGTGACCCTGGGAGCAGGGGCCGCAGCCGGGTGTAAGACAGACCCTGGGAGCACACCTCACTTACCCAGTGCCCGTGCCGGTGTACCCAGGACACATGCACTACGCAAACAAATTCCAAGACCCAGTGTGACCTGACCTGCAGTCAAAGTCGGGTTCAAAAATAGGATCCAGCAGTCACAAGAAATTTTAAAATAATTTTTAATTTTAAAAGCAAACTCCTTGTGGTGGTGCATGCCTGTCATCCCAGCACTCGGCATGGCAGGCTGAGGCAGGAGGATCACCCTGAGCCTGAGGCCACCCTGAACTACACAGTGAAATTCTGCCTCAGAAAGATAAATAAATACGCCTTACAGCCCCTTTCTTCTTTCCGTCCTCATATAGCTTCCACAGTTCTAGGACTCTTTAGTGAAACCCATCACCATCACCGCAAAACACCCTGCCTCTTCTGTGTATATGTCTTTCTGTCTCTCTGTCTCTCACTGTCTCTCACTGTCTCTGTCTCTCTCTCTCTCTCTCTCCATTCTTTTAACTCTAAACAGCAGGAACTCAGACAAGCAAACGGCAGTCACCCATCGGATGGAGCACAGATAATCCTGGAGTCACAAAGACAACGTTGTCTTCCCTGGGATGAGGCCAGAGGAGGTGGTGGGAAGGGGGAAGCCAGGGGCACCCGCATGTGGCTCACAAACACCCCTCCCCACCTCCAGCCCTCTGCAGTGGGGCATGCCTGTCCCTGCACCCAGCTGGGCTGGCCCTGTGGCTGTTGGATTGAAGACTGTGGCAGAGGGGCCATGTGCACGCTGTCCCAGACCCCTGCTCCGGAGAATTCGCAGCATCTGACTGTGCTGCTGGGTCCTGAGATGGATGTGATGAGGAAACCCCATCTGGCCTGCTGCCTGGAGGACGAGAGCCCACAGCAAGGGCAGGGGCATCCCATGCACTCTGCCGTGGTGACCAGCAGGCCACGCAGGGCTCTGCAGCCTCAGCTGAGCCGTGGACAGCGCTGTGACCTGAGGGCTCTCAGGTACAGAACTGAGCAGACCACCAGCCACAGAAACCTGAGCATCGAGGCTGCAGTAGATGACAGCAGCGGGGAGCTCTCCTCCCTAAATCGCCAGCGTGTGTGATTCCTGCAACACGAAGCCACCTGTCCTTCCTTTATAAATGAGAAGCTGAAGAGCTGCAGAATTAAGGATCTCGCTGATGCTCCACAGCTCCCAGCTGCGTCCTGGTCTGGTTCCACTCTTCATCGTCAGGATCGTGTGGCTCGTCTGTGAAGCCGAGAAGGACTGTCCCCAGGGCCGCGGTGCTGTTGGCAATGTGTGTGCAGTGGGTCATACAGACGTCAGGACAGTGCTCCTCATGGCCTTTAAAGGCATCTCCGTGGCTGTCACCTTCCTCCCGACTCCCTACACTTGTCCACTGTGACCATCGCCATCAGTCGTGGTGTACTCAGGACAGATCGCTCCCCACCAAGCACCCTGAGTTACTCATTCCATTGCTTGCAAACCCTGCCATGCTGATGCTGTCCTCCTCCCCTAGCCAATGTGGAAACTGAGGCCTGGAGCAGTGATGTGGCCAGAATGCAGACCCAGCCTGCCAGTCCACCAGGTGGGTCGCTTTTATTCAGTGTTGTTCTGGAAAGTGGTCCACAGCCAACTGACTGAGGAGAGAAAAGGAAGCCACGATTGAACGATGCTGCCACAATCAGCGTCGGGCCCACAGAGCGGCTGCACAGGAGCAGGAAGGGGGCATGCTGGGCTCGCCATCCGACAGGCCTGGCCAGCACTGGTCCCGCTGCTCCTGCTCTGTGCCGGCCCTGCAGCTGACCCTTGAGATGGGGGCAAAGTCCAGGGAAACAAGGGGCTTCTGCCCCTCTGGTCTGCGGTGCTCTTGTAACAGATGCTGTGCATCTGGCTTTGTGCCAGCAAGCAGCCATCCCCGTCTACCTCTATGCCACCTGGCACAACCCTGGACCCCTGGCATTCTCCTGAGGACACACGCAGAACACACACCAGGCTCAATCATGCATGGTCCATAGAGCCGGTCAGGAGGCAGGACTTGCGCCTGCTTGTCCAAGAAACACCCCAAAAAGAGTCCTGGAATGCAGCCCTCTCCATAGAGAGAGGGTCAAAGTCCATTGCAAAAATCCAGAAGGACCACAGCCCACATCCACTGGGCTATGCGAAATGCATGTGTGTTTGAAGCTCTCAGCATGGTGTCTAGCACATAAAAAGTGTCAAGGCAAGAGAAGCCCTTAGCATTGTCGGCTCCTGCTCTCTAGGAGATGACCAGAAAGACAAAATATAAACACTTAATAGATGTCAGGGTGTCGAAATTACCCTTGGGGTCTTCAGAAAAGAGCTGGAGCGAAACCCTGGCAGCTTCTAAGAGGGGATTGGGGACCCAGCAAATGCCTCAGTGCGCCAAAGCAGCTTGGGCTCCAGGGAGGCCTGGAGGAGACTGCAGGGAGCAGAGGGTCCAGGGGGAATTCCAGACGCCCAGAGGCTCTGAAGCTCTGGTGCGAGCGGGGGTTGCACTCCAGAGAGGCAAGGTCTAGGCCAGCGGTTGGATGCCTGGAACCCTGGGGTACACAGAGGAGCAGCCCAGCCGGCCGACTCAGATCTACGGGGCCTCCTACGCCATCGCCTTGTAAGCCAGAGCCCTCCCATGTGGGCCTGAGTGGCGCCAGGCAGGAGCTCCGCCAGGGCGCGCCGAGGTGAGCAGCTGCCCTGCGGCCAGGTAACAGCTGTGCAGGCACCAAGGAACCGTGCAGAAATGGAGAGAGCAGGAAGGTGCTTCGGAACCAAAGGCGGGCCTCTCAGACACAGAACACTAACAAGGAGATTAGAGAACCAGACTCCATTCGAGGACATAGGCGTTTTTCCAATGAAATAAATTCGTTTTCCATCATTGTGGATATGAGAAGATTTCAAAAGTGACTGGGAAATGGGAAGATGGAGAAAATTATAAAAGTGTTTCAGACAAACACTATCATGGGTTTTCATTGAGTATTTTTATTGTGCATATACATATATGAAAAAAAATTTGGACTTATCTTTCTACCTAACACTATAGTAAAAGCATTTTTGGAAGGAATACATAAGATAACACAACAGAAAAATGAGCCAATTCCATACAGACAAACATTATCAAATTATAAAGAAGTATTATGGTGTTAGAAATTATTTAACAATTTGGGAGGAAATGATTCACCTCAGCCTTCTATATTACTGCTTACATTAAAATAATTTCCTAGTGGATTAAAATATTTCTTTAACAAATTAAACGCAAACACTGCAGCAGACGCGGTTAGCAGGAAGGCACCTCGCCACACTTCACCTTACCTACACAGAGCGCTCATCCTGAATCGGCAAAAGAAACAGATCCCGTGGGGCAGGGCAGGAAGGGCTGGGCACAGAGAGGCTCCCTGTCTCAGTTTGGGGTGATTTGGGGAACAAGGAATAGGAAGTGGCATGCTTGAAATAGGGGGAAATGCATTTCATTCACAACCAAATTAAAAGTCTCTGGGAGTAATCTTGGCTGGTCTCTTTTTAGCCTCAGCCTCCTAATTTAACCATCTGGAATTCTTTTTAAAGTACCATCCTATTCAGCGTTTAGAAATGAAGGACTTGACTCCAAGTGGAAAATCTACATCTCATTGTAGAGATGGGGCTCAGCATTCACCACCCTGTTGCACAAATCACAAACATACACTCAGCAAAGGATAGCTCCCGAAACTGCATTTCACACACGACGGGAAGCAGACGAAGGACAGGAGTGGACAAACCCTGAAGCACACCCTGTCCCACGTGCCCAGGATCCCATGCTAGCCCTTCAAAGCATCTAGAATGTTCCATGTGCTGTATGCTGGCATCATATCTGGGCACAGACAACGCCGAGTACGCACATGACCCTGCATCAGACTTCACGTTCTGGATGCCCCAGCCCTGTTTAAGATCAGTCTCCAAAACAGGGCTGAAAACCAACCTTATGCTGGTTATGACGCTCAGAGTGTAAACAAAGGTATATGCGTAAGTTCTTAGGAAATCCTACAGCATTCTGTATTACTTTCCACATAAGAACTCTGGAGACTCAGAGTCTGCAGCTCGCAAAGCCACACCGGAGGGACGGATGTGCGAGGTCCTTCAGGTCATCCTGATTTCATGTGGGAAGAACCCTGGGGAGCCCAGATGCCCCAATAAATACATCAGGACCTTCTAGGTCAGGGGAAGGAGATGCCCAAGATCCCAGAGCAGGCTGGTGATGTGGGTCGGACCTGTGCTTCCTGGAGCACATTCCCAGGAGGACTGGTGTGGGGAGAAGCAGGAAGCAGAGTGTGTCTGGAGGCTGTGGTGGCCAGGGGAGGAAGGAGCCCAGAGTGGCTGAGAGGACACAGGGCAGAAGTGGGAGTGTTGGCAGGGCAGGGGTGGGCAGCTGAGGGAGAGGAGGACCTGAGAATGACTCCTGGGGCCTGCCCCGGAGAACCCAGTGGACGGTTCTACTGTTCACTGAAAACCTACATCCAAACAGGGGAGCAGGATTTTCAGACCCGTAATTGGTCCGCCTTGGAAAAGCTGTGTTTGAGGTGCCTGAGGACACCCAGATGGAGACAGGTGCCCAACAGGAAACTAAATGCAGTTTCCTTGAGCTCAAGACAGACATCAAGGCACAGGAGTCCAGTTTGGAAGTCATGGGAAGTGTCTGATCCCCAGAACTACCAAAAGCTCACTGTGCAGGCCCAGGATGAATGTCGGAGATGGAGGGGAGAGCCGCAGGAAAACAGCATCATGTAGGTCGGAGCAGAAAGGACTTACCAAGTACACGTCAGGAGCCAAACACTCTAAATCCAGAAAGGCGTCCATTGATTAGCCAGCCCCGATTCAAGACAGGACCCCAGATCCAAGACAGGACTTCGATCCCAGCAGGTTAAAGAGTGGGTGGGAGACACAGAAAAGAGACCGAAAGCAGAGAGGCTTTTTAGGGCCTTGGGAGAGCAGCGCAGCCTCGATGCCAAGGGTCCTCCGAGAGCAATTAGGGTGGCCTTGCTCACAAAGCAGCTCCTGCAGCCACGTTAGTGGGAGGAGGCACTGGTGGCCGGCCTCGCTGCCCAGCATCTACTCTGGAACTAGCCGGTAGCCCCTGCCTTGGTCTCCTCCCTCCTCAGCGGGGCCCGAGGACCCCCCTCCACAGGGCAGGGTCACCTTCCTCCACAGTGCAGGCCCCAGGCTGGCCCCTCTGGCTCTCTCCGCTGCAGAAACAGCTCTTCCCCCAGGGCCTCTCCAGCTGCCGCCCTGGCAGCTTGGCCTTGGTCCCGTGGTCACAGCACACATCTCTCGCCTGTCTCTGTGGTCTCTCTGCTTCCTCTGCTCCTTTCCACAGGAACGGCAGCCACAGACAGACGCCCCTCAGACCCTTGGCACAGGCAGCCAGCGGGGAGACTCCGCCTGGAGAGACTAACTAAGTGACAGATCGAGGCAGAGGCCAACCCAGACACCAAGCCCGGCCCACGGCCCTCCCCCAGGCCACCAGGGCCTCCACCTGGCATCACCTGCTGCTCCTCCCACTGGCCCTGCCTGCCTCCCTTGCAAACCCCCACACCTGTTCTCTCTGACCAGCCCATGGGACACTACGGTCCTCACCCATCCACACCCCTTCAGATACGGTCCCAACAGGAGCAGCAGAGCCCCAGGGAGCTGTGAGAACTGTGCGTGCTCAGCCTTACCCACAGCCTGGGGGTCTGAATCTACTTTCTAACAAGAGCCCCGGTGCACCCACCACAGGCGACAAGTCCACTGTGTCACCTGTTGCCCTGGCAGCTGACCATCTCCCTCCCCCCACCCATTCTTCCTTCTAAGTCCAGGTCCCTCCCAGGTGCCTGGTCTACTCTGCAGGAACCAGAAAGGTCCAGAAATAGAACAGATGTCCCTTGTGCCTCTCACTAATGAGGCCATACAAGTTTTAGGACCTTCGGGAAGCACCTCTTGGGTACGCTGGGCCACTGTGGGGCTTTGTGCAGTCATTGCATCTGGGAGGCACTGTCATTTTTAGTCCTCTATAAATAAGCTGACACATGACATCCCTTGTCACACCCCACCTGGCACCCACATTAGCACCCACAGCTAGAGTGGCTCGCCCCCGCCCAGCCCTGGGCAGTGTGAAGTGTGGGAGCTCCTGAGTCATCACAGCCATGGCAGGACCTGTGTGCGAGGCCGGGGCTCACAGGGGCTTCTGCTGGCTCCTCAGCCCCTCTACGGCTGTCACTTGTCCTTCTGGCTTGCAGCTCAGTTCCAAAGGTTCAGGGCTGCCACCTCTGCCCCAGAGCTGCCCTCCGAAGCCCTGCCTTTTGCAGCATGGGTGCATCCTAGTTCCTGGCTTAGCCAGACTCTCAACAGTCACCTTTGTCCTCCTGCCAGGTGTGAGTGGATTGTTGTCAGCTATGCGCTGGGATGGTCCACAGTCTCTGTAACCTAGGAGACCCGACCCTGACCTCTGGTGTCACAATGCTTGATGCTACAGGAAAGGATACCTCATGGGCATCGTGGTACACATCTGTAATCCCAGCACTTGGGAGGCCGAGGCAGGGAATCACTGTGAGTTCAAGGCCAGCTTGAACTACACATGAGGCCAAGGCCAGCCTGAGCTACATAGTGAGACCCTGTCTCAAAAAGGCAAAAGAAAGAGCGAGAGAAAAAAAAGAGAAAGAAAGGAAGAAGGAAGGAAGGAAAGAAGGAAGGAAGGAAGGAAGGAAGAGGGTACCCTTGACAGGGGACAGGAGGAGTAGACACAGTTGGCTAATTTTTTTAAAAGAACAGAACAGACCTTATGTTGCATGGTTTTCCCATGATCCTTCACTCTCCACACGCGTTCTGCTTACTAACGCCTTCTTAGGCTGTCAGGGTTTGTCTGGCGCCTGAGGTCCCTTTGACTCGGGTGGCATCAGCACTCAGGTCTTGGACTTGGTGCAAGTCTGAGTTAAAAGAAGCCCAGGGTTAGGTGACCCTGAAATCTCTGCCCAAAAGTGTTAGGTAAAAAAGGAGGACAGGCAAAAAAGGCAAAGTCGGCTCTAAATTAAAGAATCTGCCACTCAAGTCAGCCAGCTAGGGCAAGGGTGTGACATGAAGACATTTCCCCAAGCAAACTGGGCAGATGTGGAGCATGAGAGCAGAGAACCCTTTACTGCTTTAAGCAGATGAGATTTCGGTGCTATTTACTCCTGCAGAATAACCCTAACCCATTTGACTGACAAAATTCCCAAACTTGGTGCATTGTCCAAAGACTCACTGAAGAAACCAAAATGTAAACATCCTAAACATGGCAGAATATGGAACAGGAAAGGACAGGAAATCTGTCCGCAGGGAGTTTGAGACACATTAATCAGACTTCTGTTTGCTCAGGTAGCAAGCAGTCATCAGTATTTATAATATTTGAGGACGCCAACTCCCCAGGAGACCCACTGTGCCCATCCCAGGGCCTGTGCTGCCAGGAGAGCTGGGATTTCACAAGTGGTGACAGAGCACTGAGTCTAAACTACAAGCCACCCCGTTCAGTGCTGTGGCGCTGTCAGGAGCAGCCTGAAGAGCCCAGAACACATTCTGAGGAAGCAAAATGACAGTGACAGGAGGACAGCCACTTGTCCTGAGAGGGGCTGACATGGTATCCTGTGCCTACGGAGAAATCCAAAGTCACACAGAGATTTTGAGATGTCACCACGCAGCCTATAGGAACAGGGCCTGGATTCCCCAGTTAGTAAGAGAGGAGACCGCACAGGAGACCAGGATCAACGCTTCACGATACCACTTTGGGCTGAAGTAAGGCTGAGAAGAAACACAAATTCCTCACAAAGACGGCGCTAGTCATTGGGAAAAAATTACTTCTTGAGAAACAAAGTATTAAATCTTGGGCATCACAAGAAGGAATCAGGTACCATCATCACAAGAAGTGGAGGCTTGAATTCAGATCCTAGCTCAGGCCAACCACAGAGAGGTGAGGTGGATGGCTGGGCTGGTTACCCCACAGGAAAGTGACCTCCAGGAGGGTGAAACCCCAACTCAGCCAGCACTGCAGAAGGACCAGGGAGATGCTGTCCCCACGAAGGGCTGGACCGACAGCCCGATGATGGCCCATGCTACACTGTGAAGGAATTCCCCAAAATAGACTTCCACACTTTTGTGTAAAATATAGATTTTAAACTCTGCAACCTGTCTTCAGTTTTTCTTCATATCTACAAAAACAATGGCTCTTAAGAGGTGAGAATGCCCTGGGTCTTCTCTATCACATCACTAAGTGTCTGCAGTCACAGCGTGTGATGTGACACAGTCCAACTGCCAGACCACAGGGCCCACGTGAATCCTGCTCTGCTCCACAGCGAAACAAGTTTAGACAAGAGAAAGTTTAGACCCAGGCTAAATGCAAGGTGGCAGAAGTGAGGGACACAGGAATGGACCCGGCCCTGGTCAGGCTCTGAGGTGAAGAAGAGCGTGTGCACTGAGGGGGGAAGTGGCCAGCAGATGACAGAAGACAAGAAGGAGCAACACGACGCTGGAAGTGGTGTCCCACGGGGACCTGGGCTGCTCTGCATCCTCACAGTCCGCCCTTCACCCCACAGATGGCTCAGGGGAAGAGCTGTCCCTGGTCTCCCTAATGCAGGGCTGCCCGTTGGCTTACTAGGTGGGCCCGTCCATAAAATGAGCACCTACCGCCTCGTAGAACCCAGTGGGTGTCCCCACCGCAGGACAGCCGGATCGGCCTGGCAAAGCGCCTTCCAGGGTCCTCACACTCGTTCTCCCAAAGGCCCTGGTCACACAGAGGTCAGCAGCAGAGATAAGGCTCCTCACTCTTCGCCACATCCGGGACGGTGCTTCATGTCTGTGCTGCCCTCTTTTCATGGCTGTGACACCTGAGTGGACAAGCTATAGAGGACAAGGGTGCATTATGACTCGCGGGTTTGGAGATTTTGGTCCATGATTTGCTGGCCCAGGTGGCCAGGACGTGAAATAGAAGACACGGCATAATCCTTTTAAGGCCACACCCCGCAGACTCAAAGCCTCCCGTGAAGCCCCGCCCCACAGAGGCTCCCCCCCCCCCAGTGCCCTGATGGGGGGGCTTCCACAGTTCCGGCTCAGCGGTGTCACGTGTTCATTATGACTGACCAGCCGAGACACCTGAGGACAGAATTAAGGACTTTGAGGCCGCACTCGGATTCACATGGGAGGGTGTGCAAGTGGATTCACAGTGTCTTCACAGAAAGGGGCGAAGGGCCTGCACCCTATGTCCGTGACTCCGGCAGTTTCTTGCGCCGTCGTCCTTCCCTGGGCCCACCCTTGGTCCTGTTTTAAGCTAGATTCCTAATTAGACTCCACGCTGTCTCTGTCTCTAACCCGCAAAACTCCCTTGGGAAGTATATAGGGTATAATTCTTAAATAACAGAGTCGAAAATGTATGTGCAATTAAAACAGCAAGATTGTAAGAAAAAATGTCCTGTAGAGGCAGGAGGTGGCCTCTGGAGACCTGCAATTCATGCCGCAGAGGACAGTGAACCGCCTCGCCTGGGAGCAGTAACTCCTTCAGCAAAAAGAAAGCCGGACGGGAGGAGAATTAACCCCGAACTAACTGCACATCTGAGCGCGATGTAAAGGAGAATGAAGGAACAGTTGCATCCAAGCAATCACGGATTTCGGTTTGCAGAAACCCGCTGACGACCCCACAGCCATGAAAAGCATCGCCGCGGCGGTCACGCATTGAGCGCAGGCGGTGCCCGCGCAGCTGGTGGCGTCCTGGCGCAGCTCCGTGCGCATGCGCATGCGGGCAGGCGAACGCTAACAGCTTGATTTGTGGCAGTGGTCAGAGCACGGGTTAATTTCTTTTTCATTTGGTTTCCATTAATGCTGTTCTTACAACAAATAATTTGTAAAAAGCCATTAAGGTGCCTGGGTGACAATTGGAAAACCAATTATAAATTCCTGCGTCTCTAAAACGAGGCTGAGCCAATGATGCGGAGCCACGGTGCAGAGAAGCAAAGCTCTCCGCTCGACTTTTTTTTTTTTTTTTTTTTTTTTTTTTCTTGTCTGAATAGGAGGCTGACTTCATTTAAAGAGGAAAGGCGTTTTTATCTGAGCATCATTTGTCCATATTCTACTCCAGGACCACGGGCTTTCTACGGAAGAGTACTCAAATTGTATCTGAGGTTCATCACACACATTTCTGGTGTTTGCTGGAGACTCTGCCCCGCCACACTGGCCCAAGTCTGCGTACAAGGCTGTGCCACCTGGAGGAGTCACTAACACCCAGCTCCAACTTCAGTGTCCTGCACAGCCGGGTCCAGAGCCGGCCCACAGGCCGAGTCCTGCAATGTCCTGAGATGAGGGTCAGGCCCAAAAGTCCACGTGCGGATGTCCAGGCCTCGCCACCCTCCAAGGGTGGTGCATCCTGACTATTTGAGTGCCTTGGGATCCTCATGACCCTCGCCAGGGAAGAGGTCATAACCCTGGGCGACTCTGGTCTTGGTGAGCTTTCCCTGTGTCCTCAGGATTGACCCATGGGGCCAGGGAGGACCGAGCAAAGGCTGCAAGGGGGCCTTTCTTTGGATATTGTGAGGTCCTAGGTGTTGGTATCAAACTATCCCAAGAAGAACCAAGCCAAGAGGATTGCAAGGAAGTAGTCTGCCACAGGATCAAGTCCCAGGAGCAGTTACTGTTAAGGAAGTGGTGATGACCCCGTAGAAATTACAGCCAGCCTGACTCTGGGGTTCGGGGAGGACCTCCTGGAGTAACCACAGGAGCGCCCAGGGCCAGTTTATTAAGCTGGGTCTTTTATGGACAGGATAGGGGTGTGAGTGGGGTGAGCTTTGGTGGGGGAGGGGAGGAGGAGGGTGTGTGAGACCAGAGGAGAATGCTCAGGCTGAGTAACAGGCACAGCGACCTAGCAGGCGCAGGGATGCATCAGGTCCTAGCAGCGTGAGACATTGTCTTCCAGGCTCAGGTGACTGGGGTGGGGGCAACAGACAGGCCCAGACTTAACAGTTGTTGCACTGTCCAGGATCACCTACCTCTCACTTCTGGTCCCGAGACATTTTTTTTTTTTTTTTTTTTTTTTTTTTTTGTACCAGGGATCAAATTCACAACCTTGCGCTTGCCAGGCCGGTGCTTGTGCCACTGAGCTAAATCTCCGGCCCATGAGACTTTTGTGATTGGTGTGAGCTGAATCCTCTGCGGCCCCACACATCCCCGAGCTCCCTGCGTGCAGAAAGGAGGAGTCAGCTGACGCTGACAGCCAAGATGGGCAGCACCCGAGATCCTCTCCCCTCATCTCCCCTCCTCATCCCCACCATCCTCACCCACAGGCACTTGTGAACATTCGCATTCAACCAAAATGGGGTTGTGTTCCTTACACTTCCAGTAGGGTATTTCCAAATGCAATGCAGAGAAACAGTCACTTACTTTAATACCCACCTAAAATACCAACTTCGTAGCAAACTTATCCCAAAAATAACTTCCCACCACCGCCCTGTGTAGAACTGCTTATTTTGCCTTCCTTGCCATCAGTATGTGTGGACTTGCCTCTCTTATATGCAGGTCCCGTAACATTATGCAGTCATTGACCCCAACTGGACTGTGCGCCACCTGAAGGCAGGTCCATCATGCTCAGCACTGGCACTAACAGGTGCTGACCGCTGAGCAAGTGGACCCATATCTTTGACTCAGCAGAAACCCATCATGTCAGTTCCATCTCTTTTACCCTGCTCACTTAGGGCCTGTGACATTTCCGAATGAGGAAATGGAGGAGGAAATCTCTAAAATAGCTCCATCCTGGCCTCTCCGAATCCGGGAATGTATTGAGAAATTGTTCTCATGATTATGTTATATTACACAGCACAACTGACCTCAGAAAGGGGAGTAAGCAGATGGCTGTGATGCAGTGTTACATGGTCCCTCAAAAGTCGAGAATTTGCTCCAGCTGGGCGAAGAAGAAGAGGACGACAGAAGGCAAAATCAGAGGCTCTGAAGCACAAGAAAGATTTGATCCATAACTCAAGGCACAAAGCCGAGGATTTAGTTTAGTGGTACAAGCACCTGCTGGCAGGCACAAGGTCATGAGTTTGATCCCCAGTACCAAAAAAAAAAAAGTAACTCAAGATATTAAAGATAGAGGAACCTCGAACTCCAGACCCCAGACATCCTCTGAAAGCTGGCCAACATCCAGCATGCAGGAACTTCAGTCCTACGTCCCCATGGAACTGAATTCTACCATCAGCCTGGGGAGCTCAAAATCTCTGACACCAGCAGCTCCCAGAGTCCAAGCCACCAGATGCCTCAATTTTAGACTCTGAGGACCCAGCCAGACCCCTGGACTCCTCTCCTGACTCACAAAACTGTAAGATAATAAATGGGGCAATGGCAGCAAATATTATTGAAAGCTATTATGTTTATTGTGATTTACTATGCAACAAAGGAAACTAACACAAACAATTTTTGTGGAAGGAGAGGAGGAAATTTTATAAAGCAAATTATTAGAGTAATGCAGGTTTCAATACTAAGGTTAAGCTACTTAGAAACAATGAGTGTCTGGAATGTTTGTAGAAGGGACTCTGCGGTCATTCATCTTCGAGTAAACTGATAGATTATATCCCACGCCAGCTTTTACCAATCTATGTGGACCTAGGCACAGCCTGCTAGGAATTGTGAAGCCAAGCCCGGGTCCAGGTGAAATAAATTGTGATATCAGCATGTGGAGGCACACGGCAGAGTGTGTGACTTGTTGCTGTTCTTATTGTAGTATAAATTGCTAGGTTAGGAACCACAGGCCCAGGAGAAGGCAAGGTTACACACTTGATAAAGAGCAGAACTCGGAATCAGAGCTTCTTGTGCCCAGAGAATCTATTTTCTTTTACGCTGTGCAGTTTAAGGCCTCTACAGATTTAAGATAGAGAGCCTGTCCTCAGTGGAGCTCTCCAGGACTGGCAGCAGCCTGTGCATGGAGCCCTGGAGTCTCCCAAGGAACAGCCACCCAGAGGAGTCCAGTGCTGTCATCCTAGGCAGCAGAGCTGCACGGAAATTAATACACACTCAGAAAAGGACTGAGCTCTCAAGAAAGACAGCACAAAAGACGAAGACATCAGAATTGTGGCTGGGGGCAAATCTGGATGCCAAGATGGAGTTGCCACAGCCATGCCTGCAGGCCTCCCTGAAGATAAACGACTTGAGATTATATTGTAATTCACACCACCATTAGACCCAGCTAGGCATCAGACACATATAAGTGGATGACAAGACCATCCATCCCTTTCCAACAGTGCCTTTGTTCTTGCCGTACACTGTTGCTATGTGACTCGGGCCCCACTAGATCAATATTAGCTAAGTGGCTACTTGTAATCCTATAGGTTGGTTGCAGTTTGACCCACGTTGTACCCATGTTTGATTTTGCTGTGTAAATTACCCTGACAAACAGCCTCAGTGGCCAAGCTCAGGACTCTTCCTGGAAATCCAGGAGCTACTCTGCTTCCCCTTATTTCCAGTACAACTGTCCTTGGGTTGTGACTTCATTCCTGAGTGTGTGGGACCACAAACTCAGCACAGTGACAGCTAACAGCTCAGGAGTTATTTCCCCAGTAAGCTGTAAGCTGCTCTCTTTGCTCAGGGGTGGCCAGCAGCCAGAGGCCATCTCTTCTTTCATACCTTCTCTGCCCCTAGAAGGGGGGAACAAGCCGCAGTGCTGGGTACAGAGCCACAGCTAAGAACCGGAAGACTTCAGCCCATGCAGACTCCCGAAGGGAACAGAGCTTAAGGCAGCAGTCAGCGGTCAGCAGGGAGGCAGCAAGCAGCTTGCATCCCGGTGACATCCCAGGCCCTCCACACGCCTGACCCGCCCCTCCTCCTGCCTCCCCAGGCAGTGCCTGCCGGACATTAGCAATGCCAGGCCAGGCCCACTTCTTTCCCAGGAGGGGTCTGATATTTAGCAAAGCAACCCCAATACGTGT